GGCGTGGGTCTTCTCTGCCGGCATGCGTGGTGGCCAGGGGCTCAGCTGGCCGTGGACAGCAAGGCGGGAGGTGAGAGCTAGCTGGACAATAAAGTCCCGTGAGAGCAATGACTTCTGGTGGTCTCTTTTCTGCCAGCATGGGGAGGGAGGGGGGCAGCTTGGGGCGCAACTCCCATATGGCCCAAATCACTTGTCTCCTCCCGTGCCCACCTCCCGGGAGATGCTGTGCCGAGGTGTGGTGAGCGCAGAAAGCAGATAAATCACTTTTCCAGCTGAAATGCTGCCCCAGCAGTTGGGCACCTCTCAGCTGCCTGCACCTGCAGAAAAACTGCATCTCAAACATGCTGAAACACGGCATTTTTGCTTTTTCTAAACCAAACATTTCATCTTGAGGAGGTGGAATAAAATGCCTGATGCTGTTTGCATTTATCTTCCACATTTTCTCCTGGTTCTGCTCACCAAATTTGACCTAAATCCACAAATCATTTTCAGCCTGTCATGATTTTTCCAGAATATTTCACCCAGCCCTAATCTGGCCCTCAAAATTTGTGTCGAGGCAATCACAGCTGCATTTGGCCACCCTGTCACGCAGAGGGGGTTCTCTGTTGGGAATCAGTCCTCCTAGAAATAAAATGATATCTTTGCCAACAAAAGTGAGTTTGCAATAGATTTGGAAAAGTTGCTTCCTCCTTTCTCTCAGAGAATGTGAGAGGAATAGGGCAGGTGATTTAAAAGGTATTAGCAGAAATTAATTAAATTGTGAAATTATTCTGGAATGCCTATGGAATTACATATTACATCTCTACTGGTGCTGTTAAAATAGATGCGATTAATGTCAATACAATTAATTCCCGAGTATCTAATAACATTCTGCCACTCTTCTAGGTAATTAATTTGTGAGCCTTTGGTTTACAGCTCTTCCCCAGAACTGAGTGGAGGAAAACCTGTGGGCGTTGGGTGCGCAGCGCTGCCAGCTCCGCTGCGGTGCTGCACAGCCCAGGGCTGGGACCTGCCCACGTCAGGCTGCACTTGGAGCCATATGTTGTCCCAGGGATAAAATAAATCACCTGGGGCTGACTCTGGCAGGTTGTTGTGTGTATTTTTGTTCTGCCTCAGCCTGATAGCTAGCTTTGCAGCCATACCTTATATTGGAATAAGTTAATATTCCCTTGAGCCTGATCTGTTGCTATGGTTGCTTCAGGGGATGTCTGGCTGTGCTCCCTGGATGGAGTCTGCTTGGAAAGGGAATGATGCCTGCTGTAAGCTCTGAGCAGGCTAAGGATTCCCCACAACCTTTTCGCTGAGGCTGCAAGACCCTGCCTTCCATTGCTGCCATGGGGTTGTTGTCTTTCTGGAGAGGGGTGTCCTTGGGGAAGGGCTGCTCTGAGAGGTCCTGGAGGCGGTGCTCACCTGCATCACTGCCGTGCAGGCATCGGAGCTCGCTGCTGCTCGATACCTGGTGTGTGATGAAAGGAGGGAGGAGAAGCTTTTCTCCTTTTCTGCTATTCACTATCCCCCAGGGACTCTGTGTGCATCATGGTTTTTACTCAGCGACACAAGCCTTTCTTTTCAAAGCTATTTTGGAAGCAAGTGTTACGAGCCGGCCCCTCCACAGCAGCCACCTGAGGAAGGCTGGGAAGGAGGGCAGAGGCGAGTTAATGGGAAAGGTGGCATGTGGGGGTCTGCCCGCAGAGGGGAGAGCCAG